ATATATATATATATATATATATATATATATATATATATATATATATATATATTAATATATATAATATATATATATATATATATATATATATATATATATATATATATATATATATATATATATATATATATATATATATATATATATATATATAATTATATATATATATATATATATATATATATATATATATATATATATATATATATATATATATATATATATATATATATATATATTATATATATATATATATATATATATATATATATATATATATATATATATATATATATATATATATATATATATATATATATATATATATATATATATATATATATATATATATATATATATATATATATATATATATATATATATATATATATATATATATATATATATATATATATATATATATATATATATATATATATATATATATATATAATACAATTTGTTTAAATTGATCTTTATGGGTTGCACTGGCTACCTGAAACAATAGTTATTTATTTAGATGTTCAGATCAAATACAAAAGTTAACATGGAAATCATTAATAAGGTATCTGAAACTGCAAAAATCTTGGTTAATAAATGCACTTTCAAGGATATTATATTTATAGATGACACTATATTTCTTAATATTAAAGGGTCTTAAAATGTTCTCAAACCGATTGAATACAATGATCACTCTACTGAATACCGATTTTATATTTTGAATTATCACTTTTTTATTCAGCATGTTTTTTATCCAAAGTTTCCATTATCAAAAAAAAAATGTCTTATTACTCTTGACTTTTTTTTTGCAACTCAAGAGAACAGATTAATCCTAAAAAGTCATATCCAGTTCTAGGAAATATTGAAAAAAGGCACTATTTTCTAAGTTACAAAATTTTGTTATATCAGAAACTTTTTATAAATGAGAATGTAATTGTAAGAGATTAGAGGAAAGCAAATTTCGATTCATTTAATAGAGTACTTTTCAATATGGAATGGTAAACGTGTTTTAATGGCAAATTAGTCCAAGAAATGTATAATTATTTTTATTTTACATGAATGCAGCGTGTAAACTATTTATTTTACACTATAATTAATTAAAAAGTTTGATATTAATTAAAAAAAAAAGCGTATGTTTTGTATAAACATACGCAAATCTTAAAAAACTAATAAAATTAAAAAAGACCCTTTGATTTTTCAACTGTTCCTTTGGATGGAAAATTTTTTCTCTTGCGAGTAAATGCAAAAAAACTTGCAAGAGAGTCAAAAATTAATTAAGAAAAGCTATAGAAAAGTATGAAAAAAACATTACGACATTGGCTAAGAAAAATCCAAATTGACTTTACAATTATGTGAATGGATAACAACAGATCAACAACTTGATAAAAACTTTACGTAGTGAAAATAAAATAGTGACAAATGACCCAAATCAGATCGTAAGTTTACTAAATAACAAGTTCTAAGATGTATTTGTCCGTAAGAATGATTTTAATTTGCCAATGTTTGCCTCTAGAATTAATAAAACTTTTGATTTTGATATAATCCCATACAAAGATATTAATAACAGATTTGAAAGTTTAAATACCGAGAAGTGGTGTGGAGGAGATCTCATTAAACCTTTAATCTTAAAAAATTTTGAATATGGAATAGCTCTACCGCTTGCAAAGATATTTAAAGCTACCATTGTGCCCAGTAAACTATTTGTTCAGTGAAAATCAGTTATTATTAGTCCTATATATTTATATAGGACTAATAATAAGGAAGTAAACTGTCGCCGTTAAATTATCTTTAAATTTAACTCACTTCTGTACCTTGTAAATTCTAAAAGGGATTGTGCAAGATTTAATTGTGAATATTCTAAATGCAAACAACCTTTTTTCAAAAAATCAACGCGACTTTTTTAAAAATTAATCTTGTTCAAGCGACCTTATTGAAAAACTAGACAAAATCAAGTATTATATTAGAATTAACCTGTTAATGTAATTTC